CAGATCGTTTTGAACCGGAGAAAAGCCGAGACTCTTTCAAGAAATACATAACGGGTGATCCAAGATAAATTGCACTAAATTCCAATGCATTTTTCTCTCATTTTTCATTTATGAAAAATATGCCCTAATATACCAAAAGATAGAGAATTTCAAGCTCTACAAAACTGTACTCTTTATTTTAAAAAACATAATCGCCCTCGCGTTGTAACATTCGATATATTCTATTGGTCCAACTTAAGATACTGCGACGCACGCTGTTGAGTCGAATCTTTTTGATACCTTGTTTTATTTCTTCATTAATGTTTGCTTGTTCGTTATGAGACTCCAGTCCATTTGTTGACGAAGTTCATCCCAGATGCAATAGTCCAGTGGGTTAAGATCTGGACTATATGGAGGCCAACGATCTTTAGTCCAATAATCCGGAAAATTTTCTTCACACCATTGCTGTGTCATTTGGTCCCTGTGTGCTGGTGCACCGTCTTGTTGAAAAATAAAATCACTACCTAACATTTTTTCACCATCTTCGAATGCTATAGGTAAAATTTCTTCGATATATCGTGAACTGTTAATGGTGCCTTCGATGATCACCGGGCGTGTCACTCCTTGATAGCATACCCCTAACCAAATCATAATGCCAGGCGAAAATTGCGTTTCACGATGAATACCACCTATATCATCTGCTTCCTTGCGTGTAGCAGCATACATTCGATCATTCTGTGTATTAAAGGTATTATTAACTCGAAAGTATTTCTCATCCGAAAATAAGATCTTTTTTGACATGGATTTCGTGATATTTTTTCTAACGCAAATGCCAAATGATTTCCTTTTGCTTTTATGTTCGTCAGCAAGTTTTGGTACCACTCGCATTTTATAAGCCTTGTAGCTGAGATCATCTTTAATTGTACGATGAATTGTACCAAAGGATGTTTTCATTTCCTTTGCTAACAATCGTATTGAACTTCGCTTTCTTTTTGATAACCGTTGTTTAACCTTCTGAATAAACGCCTTTGTACGAATAACTCTGGGAGAATCTTTTGACCCTTCCAAATCAATTGCACCAGTTAAGTTTATTGATTTTATCCAATAAAAAACTGTTCTTCTGGGAACAACCCCACGTAAATGTTGATGGATTTTGCTTCCATTGCGACCTTCCTGATGCAACCGCAGCACTAGTTCTCGAATGTCTTTACTTTTCATTCTAAAAATTTTTTAAGAAAATCAAAATAAATCTAGAAAGAGAACAGTTTTGTAGAGCTTGAAATTCTCTATCTTTTGGTATATTAGGGCATATTTTTCATAAATGAAAAATGAGAGAAAAATGCATCAGAATTTAGTGCAATTTATCTTGGATCACCCGTTAAAACAAGTTTGAATTTTTTCCGGTCGAGAAAAAAAGCTTATTTTCAAGGTGAATGACCAGCTTAATCCTTAATCCCGGATGTCTACAGGCAAAATTGTCAGCAGAATCACACAATATCACAGAATCGCTATCACAACATGACGATCCGTCCCGTCAAAATGGACTTTTTTCCAACGCAAGCTGACATTAAAAGCTGGTTTTTGCTGATAAGAAAAGTTTTTTCATCCAGTGTAAAGTGAATTATGAAAGTTTCAAGTTCGCCGTATAATATTAGCTGCCGGGGATAAAGGGTTACGATCGAAGTGTCAGCAATTAGATACAATGTCCAAGTTTTACCTGTTGGGTGTAAAGCACCGTTTTCTGATGGTGATCGTATCCACCATGAATGTTACACGAGATACAGGCATGATAACCACCATGTTGCACAGTGTTTGTCATTGTTTCCAGAGCAGGAAGATCTCCAGTAAATAACTGAAAACGAATTGGAATGATACGTTGAGTTTGATCGATATTTATCAATAAACCATCTTTCTGAACACTGTTCAGAGGTGGGCAAGTCCAAGTCCGGACTTGGACTTAAGTCCAGACTTGAAGCATTTCTTATCGGACTTGGACTTGACTTGGACTTGAGCTTCAGTGGACTTGGACTTGACTTGGACTNGTCATTGTTTCCAGAGCAGGAAGATCTCCAGTAAATAACTGAAAACGAATTGGAATGATACGTTGAGTTTGATCGATATTTATCAATAAACCATCTTTCTGAACACTGTTCAGAGGTGGGCAAGTCCAAGTCCGGACTTGGACTTAAGTCCAGACTTGAAGCATTTCTTATCGGACTTGGACTTGACTTGGACTTGAGCTTCAGTGGACTTGGACTTGACTTGGACTTGAGAAAAAAACTTTCCGTTGGACTTGGACTTGACTTGGACTTCGAAATGGTCGGACTTGCCCACCTCTGACACTGTTTAATTTTTTTACGATATCACAAAGAAAAAGATTAAATCCTTCTTTTGACGACCCAGTCCATATTGATAATAACATAATATTTGATTTTGAAAAACGTATATAAGGGGACAGTTCAGCTATAAATAATTGCAATATCCACATACTTTTACAGTTCCTAATACGTTTTGTTATTGGAGCTCCATCAGCACGTAGAATGCAAGTAACAAATAAGGTTTGTTCTTGTTTTAATACTGATTGATAAACAGTTTGAGCCACAATATCTGCTCCGCACTTTTCTTTATGAAAACGTGCATCGCTTTGATATTTAATTATGTCTCTAAGATTACGATTAATGATATTCGTCAAAATGAGTGATGGATTACTGCTATATACTTCAGCCAAATGATCTTTTGTTGTCTGACTGCAGTTAGGACATGTTGTCATATTCAGTCTAATATCGAGTTGTTTATTACATCGTGTACAATAACAACTGTGATAAAAGTAATTTTGTTTGTTTAATATTTTATGCATTTTGTTTGCTGTAAACTTACTTTCTTTATTGTTTTTCTCGGACGTGTTGGCAGAACCTTTTGATAAGTTTCTGTTTTAAGCTTATGGTTTACCTTACGCTTGTTTCTGTTCCTAAATAAACTGAACTGAACTGAACTGAAAACCCGAATTGCAATGATTAAGAACACAAAAGCATGCTAAAATCTGAGACATTAAAAGTTTTGTGAAAAAAATTTTTTTTGCATTAAATGTCTCGTAATCTAGCGAAAACGTGTTTTTTTGCTTATAGTTCGCTCTTACTGCTTCTATCTCACTCAGACTTTTCGTAGATAGATGCTGTAATACAAAAATCAAGGAACACTATGTCTCGCTCTCAAAATCTCTACATATCATATTTAATTTTCTTCTGCGATCAACTGAAGATTGTTTTTATTCCGAGCTAGAGTTCACGGTGGGAAACATCCTCTTATTTTTAGCATAAAATAGGCTACAGAGGTGGTGCTGTCTACACTAATGTACTGAGCTTCAACTTCTATTGCTGCTCCAGCTGTAGCTTTCTTCGGCGTGAGTCGCAGTACCTTCTAGTAAATTATTCTCATAAGTCTGAAAAATTGGTTTCGCTAAGTGTTTCTGATTGCTCCTATTTGGTTCCCTAAGTGGTAGAACGATAAATTTCTTATATGAATGGCTAAATTACTATCGATGGACATATAGAGGTTTTTATTTCTTGAACGAGCTTTTTCGCTGCTGAATTTTCCTCGAGGTATCTCCAAAGAATAACTGATAAGTCTGGCCCCTAAGTCCGGAGAAGCTAAAAGTTTGGATTTCTTGGGTTTCCGATGCGCTCTACAATATGAGATAACTTTGAAGAAAATCTGAGACATCGAGTGAGCATATTTCTGTGGAAAGCAAGCGTTTTTCACATGGTGCGATGGCTCTTAAGTGCAAAATGAGGCACTGGATGTAATAATTTTTCCAGTGTAACGAAATGTTTTGAGAAAAAGTAGCTGTGAAGTCTCTTACTAATTTTGAATTATTAAATTCGGTTTTTCTCAGAATTTTTCTAATTTTTCTGTTTCACTGAAAAAAGTATTACACTCAGTGCCTCATTTGACACCTAAAGAAGAGTTTTATGCCGAAAAGTTTTCAGAATGGCTATTGACAGCACCGAAGGGTGTTAGCAAGAGCTATAGACACGTACCGGAGCACAGTGGGCATTTTTGGCTAGAACAGTCGGACATCAGCTGTAAAATCAACTGGAAAGCTCAAAAACAAACTTTTTATAAGTTTTTCAATGCGCTCTTTCCAATGGACTCTGGGTTTTCTGGCGAATTCTACCTCTAGAAAACAAGATATAAAAAAAAGTGCCGAGAACTTCGTGAAAGTCATTTACCATTATAAAGTTGTTCCATACTAAGCGATGCATCCATGTAGAAAAATTATAGGGGAAAGCAGTATGAGTGTTTTTAATTTTAAGAGATATTAGTATTGAGTATCCTAGTAACAGTGGTTGTTTAAGGAGTGTATTTTCTGATGTTCATATCTTCTGACCACGGAAAGTTGGCCATTCTCTACAATAAGAAAAATCAGTGCGTAAACTTTATGTTTTCTTGAACACAGAAGAAAAAGACTGAATGATAGGCTACAAGGTGTGCGAAGAGAAAGAAAACGAAACAAGTAACTTTTACAATGATATATGGAAAAACTCACTAATATAGGGTAATCCATAAAAAACTTACCCCCTGTGTATTTATTGACTTTCTTGTGTAAAAATATAATTGAACTTTTTACCATCAGTTTAGTCGAGTAGAGCAAAGATTTCTGGACAAAATTAAACGTCTCGGAGCTTTTCTCGTGAAACAGCATTCAATTTACGGAAGGCCCTAAGAGTGTATCCTTCTTGTTTTCCCGTTAATTGTGCTGATTTCGATGGTAAA